AAATATGAAATAACCACTAGAAAAAGGGCCTATGTGGGAGATGTCTGACTTGGGTCTTCCCCTTTGCCAGAATCTCTGGTACTTTTTACTCCTGTATGCCTTTCTGTTTAATAAACTCCTATCTTACCATTGATTTGTGGTCTGTGGGTTCATTCTTCAAATCCGGTAACAATATCACCTCACACCTACTAGGATTGCTATTATCAAGAAAACCAAAAGATAAATGTTGGCAAGGATGGAGAGCAATTGGAACACATGTATACTGTTGATGGGAATGTGAAATGGTTCACCCACTATGAACAATGTGGAGGCGCCTCAAAAAATTAATACTACCGTATTATGTAGCAATCCCAGTTCTCAGCATGTATCCAAAATGATTGAAATCAGGATCTCAAAGAGATATTCTATGTTCACTGCACCATTATTCACAATAGCCAAGATTTGAAAAGAGCCCAAATGTCCATAGATAGATGCATGGATAAAGGAAAAGTAGCATATTCATACAATGAAATATTATTCATCCTTAAAAAAGGAAATCCTGTCATTTGCGACGACATGAATCAAAGCTGGAGAACATTATGCTAAGTGAAATAAACTAGACACAGGCCAAATACTGCTTGATCCCACCTTTATGAGGTGTCTAAAATGGTAAAACTCAAGAGGCAGAGAATAGGATGGTGGTTGCCAGGGGCTGGGTGAAAGGGAAAATAGAGAGTTGTTCAGTGGGTATAAAGTTTCAGTTACATTGGATGAATGAGTTCTAGAGAACTTCTGTACTTAAAATTTCAAGAGGATAGATCTCATGTTCAGTATTCTTTAAAAGAATGAAGAAACAAAGAAGCACACGGACTGTTCTGGAGGTGATGGTATGTCTACTACCTTGATTGTGGCAATGGCTTCATGGGTGTTTATGTATGTACAGCTCAATTAAATTGCATATGTTAAATAAGTGTAGTTTTTATTAAGAATTCTACCACAATAAAGCTGTTTTTAAAAGACTTACAGATAAGTCTTTGCAAACTGCAAGGCAACCTTCAGAAGAGAAGGGATTATTGAAAGAATCCATGTCTATTTCATGCTCTAAAATGATCTCTTTAATGATTGCTATTTTTTCCAACTAATTATGGTCATTTATACTTGATTATTTATGCTAATATAATACCAAGCCATGCCTTTGGTGTTTTATATTTCTGAATCAGTATACTATTTATGTTTTTGTAGAAGAGATGTATTAATATAGTGCCTCTCTTTTTTGTATTGCACACAGCAAGTGACATAAAACTAGGCAGAATTTCAGTTTACAGTAGCGTAGCTTTAACAAATGGGAGTAAATGTTTATAAAACTGATAAGTTTTCATGGACTGTTGCTGTCTTGTAAGGCTGAATCTTAGCACTCTCAAATTTCTTATTCTACAAAAGGAATTTCCAGATGAGGTTATAAAACTATTAGTTATAATAACACCATTTTCAAATTTCTGTTTTTAAAACAGTCCCTGAAGTAAAATAAAAAAAAAAAGACACATAAGGACTTTACATCCTATAAGAAATGATAAGCAAGGAGAAACTGAAAAATTAATTTATTATATGAAGAAACATAACAATATTTATTACAGTCAATGACTGCAGAGAAGCAGTTGACAAAAGCTCACATCCACAATGTATTGGCTGAGGAGTACTGGCACATACACTGATAACCACAGCACTAATGTTCTAAGATGGTTTCCAAGGAAATGCTGTTTAACAATCAATTTTAATGTTTATTTTCCCATTTACAAGGTTGAAAGATTAAACTCAAATTTAATTAATGACTTGAATCAGGCATTCACATTGTAAATCACAATTATCAAAACACAGTGCTATGCTGTACATGAATAAATATACTAAAATGATAAACTCATTTACCATCAGAATCACTTTCTCAGATTCAGTGGGTCTTTGTCCTCCAAGTACCATTGTGCTTGGGTGCTAATTTGTGTAAGCAACTGGTTGGTTAGACAAAGGGCAACTGTTGAGAAGGCCAAAGGCTCACATATGCACTCAAGACAACTATGTGGATGACACTACTTACTTCTTTTCAAACAGTAAAAAAATAGTAATAACCTGCTTATGGACTCTAATAACTATAATAATAACTCTTTAAATATGGATGATACTTTAAAAAAATATTTTCAAAGCATTTATACACTTATTATTTAATTTGATATTTCTGATAACCTGGTGAGGTAGGTTGGACAAATGTATTATCCAAATTTGGTTAAGTGAAGAAACTGAAGCATGCAGCAATTAAGCAACTTACAGGGCTGGACAGGGAGATGCAAACCTCCATATTTGGCTATCTCTTCTAATGATAAGAGAAAATCTAAACATGTTTGGTAAACTTATTTCAATATATTTTGAGGAAATATTTTACCCCCATTCAGCCAAATGAGAGTGATTCATTTGGAGCAGCTCTCATGACAGGTTATGGTATGTGATTAATTAGACAAAGCACTGAGAGTTTGACAAATTGAAATTATAACTGAAAAACACATTTTAGCTCTCAAAACATGAAGACATTTTCTGGCTTACTTTATGCTTTTAGGATGACTAGCTCTGCAGTGTGAATTGTAATTTTGCCATTTCAAAGATATAAATAATTTAAACACAGAAATTCTTAGTTTACCATAACTTATATTTTCACCATGCAGGATAAAAAAGCAGTTATTTCCCTCACCCCAAATGAATGAACATATGTGTCCCCAAAGATAGGGTACTTGTATAGCAAGGGTTTAAAATTGACAAAATGTCCAATTTAGTTATCAAACTTCTGTCCTTATCACTGTGTGAATTAGGCTTTGGGAATCTGACACAACATCACTGGTAGTTTGGTTTGCAGTCACTAAAGGTGCTTACTTATCATCTAAACCAGCGGTTCTCAACCTGGGGGTTGCAACCCCTTTGGGGATCGAACGACCCTTGATTAAGACTTTGTTATTTCTCAGCTTTGGTTTGGAGGCCTGTCGTAAAAATATTACAATTTCTTGATCCTTGTCCAATTTTGAACACATCCAGTCAGTGACAGGCTGGCAGCTGCTCCCCCTCCTCACTCCCAAGGCATGATTTGAAGGTATTTCAGATGGAAAAGGGTCATAATTAGCCCTACCATCAGCTACTACAAACCTTCAAGACATTTGAAAATGTTTTTCTCACAAAAGAACTTGGAAATATCCAGTGTCAATGAACACAACTAACAGACGTGATAAAAAGAAACACTTGGAATGAATTAGGAATGGCTTCACTGTTCTCCTCCTCATTACAGAACCCTTTTGTTAAATAGGATATAGCCAAAAAAGGATGTGTCTTAGCTTTATTTTACTCACAGTCTTGACATTGAAGGGTGCTACTGTGGATTACAATTGTAATCTATGCACATGGAGAGTGCATGAAAGTATATGTTGTATGCAAAGTATATGTTGATTAAGTGTGCTCATTACTTATTTTAGGCCTATTAAAAATAGAGGAAGTAATAGGTGATGTACTAGCAGACAGAACATAGACAATCTTGAGTTTTATTTTCATTTAGTTAAAAATAGACAACAATCTGTTTATGGACATCTCAACAAATTAAACCAAAAATACTGATAAACCAAGACATTTGAAATGAAAAAAAGTATCTCATAAAACTAAAGTTGAAGTTCAACAGTTTAGGAGCTTATTGATATATTTCTATGGAACTGTATAAAAAATATTAGACAATATAGATGCCCTGTGAAAGAATATGTACTGTTTGACACATGAATATAGTGGAAATTGATTACCAAATTGCATTTTTATCTGTGTGTATGAAATTACTTATAAATTTGACACCAAAATGAATTCAAAAGGAAAATTATCAGAAATGATGTAATGGTCAGATGAATACATTTTCTAGGTTAATACAGAGAAGTGGACCCATATTCCATCTGGTTAAATACTACATAGAGTCCACAAATAGATTCCCCTTTGGAAATTTCTCAGATTTTACTCTGATGTTCATTTTAAATTGGTATGATCTTTATTGTCACCTGTTTCCAAGTACTTCATTATGAATATTTTAATGGTAGAAATAGTGGCACTGGATATAAGAATTTTTCCAAGACAATTGAGGACATGTTATCCATTCCTCTTTTATGAAATAAACAGGATTCCAAATTAAAGAAAAAAAGATTATGTAGATGATGAAAGGGTGTAGGAGGATAACATCAAAATCTTTTTCAAATTAATTCACAATTATGGTAAATCAAAATACATTCAATAAAAGATAAAAATCTGGTCATCTCTTTCTGTAATTTAAAAAAGTTCTCTGAGGTCAGTATCTAACTAGGGGTGGTGGTAAGGAAAACCCTCTTCCTTCAAATGAAAAAGAAAATGACTAAATACCTTAACTGGGTGGGAAATTTTTAAAGAGTTTTCCAGAAAAAACTTGTTGACCAAGGTAACTCTTATCTAAAACTTTCCTCACAGGCAAGGAAGGGGAAGGTGAGAGTGGAGACTATAAATTTTATTCTCTTCTTTCCTAAAATTGTGAATCCTAGAAAAGTCTATTAGAAATTTCCCGGAATCACCCAACAGGTCTGAACCTTAAGGAGGTTTAAGCCTACCCTGTAGCAGATTCACATATTTAACCATTCTGGGATGGTAAGAATTCTACTTATATAAGCTTCCATCATTTTGATGTTTTAACTTCCCTCCTGATACAAAATTTCTTCAACATACCAAAGGATAAGAACTTTCCTAAACTTACAGGGTTTTCATAGCCAAATTTAGAGTTCATTTTTGCATTCATGGATCCTAAGCAATAAAGTATCCAAATCTAGGCTCTTGAATCAAGTACACAGCATGTGCAAAGAGCCTTAATGAGATGAAAATGGAGTATCTGTGTCTATTCAAAAACCAAAGCTAAACAGCCTTCCCTGTAAGCTCTGACAGAAATGACATTGCTGATGGCAAAACACCAGTAACCTTCTCTGGTCATTAGGACAGTTCTAGGGTGAAAACTATGTTTAGGAATAATAAATCATAAGGCTACCCAGACCAACACAGTCTAGAAAACAAGTAAGCCTCTCTCCTCATTCTACCTTATGGATCTAACTAGCCCAATTCAGATTGCAGGGATACCTTGTTGCTGAAAAAGCCAGTAATGCCTAGAAAAATGTAACATGGTCACCTGGAAACTGTAGTGCCCTTCTTCAACACTCAGAGGTTTCCCTGGCTTCTCCCCATAGTTCTAAATACCCAAGAACTGTATACAGAGAAGCAGGTCACAAAGTGTTGACAGCTAACTTCCTGACTTTTTCCCTGTGCAGGGCTCATTTCTTGTATGAAGAGTGGGTATGAAACCCAGAAAACAACATGCCTGTGCCCTGAGAGACCTTGGATCCCCTTAAGCAGAGCATATGTCATCAGCATTCAAGAACTGAGAGGGCTCCTCACTTACTCCTGCGTTAGAAGGTATCTCATTTCCACTTCTGGATGACTTTAGGTCTGTTGTTCCTACCGACTCAGAGGATGTCTGCCTCCTGCAGGCCCAGCAAAAACACCTAAGCCAGTTTTGAAAGCCTTCAGAAACAGTGGTGGAAAAGAGCCTTTTGCAAGGGTGGAAAAACTGATAGAACACAAGCATAAAGAGAATGGCTGTGCAGTACCCAACGAGCAGCTGTAGAATCAACAGAGGTGCACACACATACATATAGATGTCGGTCTTGAAAATATACCACAAAAGGAGAAGGATGGCATTTTCAATGAATCTCATCATATAGTACACCAGTAGCTGGTACCAATTCTGGGACTTGCTGATGAGGTCGGGGCTGTCAATTTTCAGCTGTACAGCTGACCAACAGAACATGTTGATACCAGTATACAGTAAAGTGAGGAAGCACAGCACGATGGTAGTACCCACCCGAGTGAGAGCCTTCTCTATATTCTCAGGGAATGGGGAGTCACTGTACCAAAAGAGGATCCAAGGGTATAAGAAAAAGCTGAAGAAGTTGATGAGTATGACCATCACCACCCAGCTCTTCAGGACGGAGGTAAAGAGGACTAAGACTATAACTCGAGTGGCAATCTCAAAGCTCCTCCAGAGGAAGATACAGACATAGGCCAGAGGCTTCACCTTGACCTCGTATTCATCATATTTGATTTTGATGGCTAGGATGTTGCAGCGCAAGGCTCCATACACAATGGACAACAGGGATAGAGTCATGAAGAAGCCTAGGGAAAGAAAGAGAAAGAGCAGTGTTAAGTCTCACCTATACCAATAACCTATCATGACAGATACTCTGTCAGTCCATATTGCTTGGACTCTTCTCTGTTTCACGTATACAGGCTAACTTCCAGCTGTCAATATCTGTCTTTTGTGCCTCAGGACATTTTCCAGATTTGAATAAGGCTGCTCTGCCCAGGAGTATGGTAGGCTAAAGTGCCAGGAATTAATCCTCTTGGAAGAGCCCTCAATACCCCAATTCAAGCTCTAATTAAAAGCTTAAATATAAGTACCCTGGATCCCCCACCCCCTGGGTAGAATAATTCTGATGCAGCTCAGCACCTGTAGCTCAGCAACTGGGCACAAGTCACATATACCAGGGCTGGCGGGTTCAAAACTGGCCTGGGCCTACCAAACAACAATGACAACTACAACAAAAAAATAGCTGGGCATTATGGGGGACACCTGTAGTTCCAGCTACTTGGGAGGCTGAGGCAAGAGACTCACTTAAGCCCAAGACTTTGAGGTTGCTGTGAGCTGTGATGCCATGGTACTCTACCATGGGTGACAAAGTAAGACTCTGTCTCAGAAAAAAAAAAAAAAAAACACTCTGATGCCTGTGTTCTATAACATTTCCCAATGTTTCCTCATAGTGTTAACTTCTAGTCACCCACTGTGATAGCAGTCTAATAATGCTCCCTTTATTGGCTGCCTTCCTTTCTGTGCCTCGTTTCTCTTCCCCCTTGCTTCTTACACCTTACTGCCAAGTACATGCACTCAAATCCTCCTCTCACGGTATGCTTTAACGGGGACCAAAACTAAAACACCTTCCTAACTCCATCTTGGTCTGTTTGAGTATGTCGAGTCTTTTACATGGTGTGTTTTATTTCCTCATTTAGCTTATAAGCTTCTAGAGAGTTAAGACCAACCACATCTGACATTTCTTCTTGATGATGCTCCTCTACATATACCAGTAGTAGATATACAAACAGAAGAAATGCAAAAGTACATTGCTAAATATGGTCCCCTCTATCTGCAGAACCTTTTAAATTTATATCCTTTAAGGAATCTACATACTGTCTTCTATAGAGGCTGTGCAGCTGTACTCAACGGGTGTCCCACTAGAGTGTATAAGCATTACTTTTTCTCTGCATCCATGTGAGCATCTATTATTTCTTGTCTTTTTAATAACAGTCATTCATTTAATCCAGCAATCCCTCTACTGGGGACTTACCCAAAGGAAAAGAAGCCATTTTGTAAAAAAAAAAAAAATATATATATATATATATATATTTGCCACATATTTTAATCCACTCATGAACTGATGGGCACTTAGATTGATTTCATGTATTTTCAATTGTGAATTATACACACACACACCATGATGTACTAATCAGTATAAAAAGGAATGAAATAATGTCATTTACAGCAACCTGGAACGAAGTGGAGACCATTATCCTAAGTGAAGTATCTCAGGAATGGAAAACAAACACCATATGTTCTCACTAATAAGTGGGAGCTAAATGATGGGTACACATGGGCACAAAGCTATGTAAAGAACATGAAAAACCAAGCAGAGGAGAGGGCGTGAAGGATAGATATGAGGGATCAAAACTTACCTATTGGGTACAACGAACACTATTCTGGTAACAGGCACACTAAAACCTCTGTTTTAAGCATTATACAATGTGTCCATGTAACAAAAACATTTGTGTTTCCTTAATATTTTGAAATAAAAAATAAACAAACTTATATACTGACTATAGAATATTCACTGCAGTCACATTCTTAATTGAAGGGACTGAAGAAATGAGAACCTCATTGTTACTGAGAGTTGATCTGTCTTGGGCTGAAAGGCCTTGGCGTTTCAGCAAGTCTCAACTCTGGCAGTTTATTTCTTAAAATGACTTACAGCTAACAGGTTTATCCAGTTTATAACAGAAGCAGCAGTTTAGGGAGAAAATATGTGGCTCATTTAAATAGAGCATGGTATTATGTTCCAGCACACAACACTCGTGGCCTTGAGTTATTTTATCTAAGAAATATGCTGCCAACCCATGAGCACAGACTGTGTAGTCAAAACTGAAAGATAATCACTGCAGGCTGCCACCGCTTCTAAATAATAGCACAAAGGAGCATGGGAGGAAGGGCTGTGAGTTAGGAAGTCAGGGTCACGCTCTGGTTTTACTCTTGCTTACAATGAGAAAATGGCAAGCTCTCTGGATTCTATTTTCTCCCTCATAAAATTGAGATGATAATACCTTCCATACTTTCTGCTTCAATTTTTAACTGTCTTGAAAATATGTTTGTCTGTTTATTTTAATAAACTTTATCTTTTAGGGTAGTTTTATGTTTACAATAAAATTGAGCAGGAGGTACAGAGATACGCTATACACTCCCTGACCTCACGTAAGCACAGCCTCCCTCATTATCAACATTCCACACAAGAGTAGTACACTTGTTAAAATTGATGAACCTACACTGACACATCATTATCCCCTAAAGCCCATTGTTTATATTAGGGCTTACTCTTTGTGTTGTACATTCAATGTGTTTGGACAAACGTATAAAGACATGTTTCCACCATGACACTATTATGCAGACTAGTTTTAATGCCCTAAAGATCCTCTGTACTCTACCTATTCATCCCATCCCTTTAACTTCTGGCCACCACTGATCTTTTTACTGCCTTCATAGTTTTACCTTTTCCAGGCTGTCATATAGTCAGAATTGTGCAATATTTAGCCCTTTTCAGATTGGCTTTTTTTGCTTAGTAATATACACTTGAGTTTTCTCTACCCCATTTCTTTTTAGTGCTCCATTGTCTGGATATACTACTGTTTACTTATCCATTCACCTGCTAAAGAATATCTTGGTTGCTTTCAAGTTTTAACAATTATGAATGAAGATGTTATGAACATTCTCATGCTGGCTTTTGTTCAGACATAAGTTTTTAACTCTCTTGGGTAAATACAAGGAGTGTGATTTGGATTGTATAGTAAAAATATGTTTAGTTTTGTAAGAAACCTCTCAACTGTCTTCCAAAGCAGCTGTACCATTTTGCATTTACACCAGCTACGAAAGAGAATTCCTGGTGGTCCACATTTTCACCAGCATTTGATGTTGTCAGTGCTCTGGATCTGGCCCAATACATTTAAGGTATATAACATGATATTTTGATATACATACATATTGTTAAATGATGACTAGAGTTAATTACTGTATCTATCACCTCATATAGTTAACCTTTTTGTGATGAAAACACTTAAGATCCACTCTCTTAGCAAATTTCAAGTATGTATACGGTATTATTTACAGTTACCCTACTGTACATTGGATATCTAGAACTAATTAATACTAATTAATAATAACTGAAACGTTTTATTGTTTAACCAACATCTCCTCATTTTTTACCTCATCTCTGCTCCTACTAACTACCAATCTACTCTTTGGTTCTATGAATTTTACTTTTTTAGATAACACATATAAGTGAGATCATGCAGTATTTTTCTTTCTGTGTCTGGCTATTTCAGTTAGTATGAATATCCCCCACGTTCATCCATGCGGTCAAAATGGTAGAATTTCCTTCTTTTTTAAGGCTTAATAATATTTCATTTTAAATAGGTATATAGTGATATCTCACTTGTTGTCTTAATTTATATTTCCATGATGACATATAGTGTGGACCATATTTTCATATACTTATTTGCTTATCTGTACATCTTTTTTGGTGTAAAAGATCCATTTGTTAATCAGACTGTTAATTTTCTTAGTGTTGAGTTTTAAGAGTTATTTGTAGATTTTGGATAATAATCTTTTATCAGGCATGTCTTTTACAAATACTTTATCCTAGTACATAGTATATGGGAGATAATCTTGTTTTACTCTCTTAACGGTGTCTTTCACAGATCCGAAATTTTTAATTTTCATGAAGCCCATTGTATCAATTCTTTCTTTAATGGATTATGGTTTTGGTACTGTATCTATAACATAATCGGGCAGTGCCCTTAGCTCAGTGAGTATGGTGCCGGTCACATACACTGGAGCTGGCGGGTTTGAATCCAATCTGGGCCTGCCAAACAATAATGATGACTACAACCAAAAAAATAGCTGGGCATTGTGGTGGGCGCCTGTAGTCTCAGCTACTTGGGAGACTGAGGTGAGAGGATCACTTGAACCCAAGAGTTTGAGGCTGCTGTGAGTTAGGATGCCACAGCACCCTACCATGGGTGACCAAGTGAGACTCTGTCTCAAAAAAAAAAAATAATAAAATAAATAAAACATAATCACCAAATTCAAGGTCAGATTTTTCTCCTATGGTATTTTCCAGGAGTCTTATAGTTTTATGTTTTACATTTAGGTCTATGATCAATTTTGTGTTAATTTTTGTGAAGAACATAAGGTCTGTGTATAGATTCACTTTTTTGTATATGGATGTCTAGTTATTCCAGCACCAATTGATGAAAAGATTATAATTTATCCATTGTATTGTTCTTGTTCCTTTGTAAAAGCTCAGTTGATTATTTTTATGTGGGTCTATTTCTGGGCTCTCTACTCTATTCTATTGATCTATCTTGTATTCTTTTGCCAATAGTACACTGTCTTGATTATTGTAGCTTTCTCCATGTCCGCTTCTTAAAATTCAATTCTATAATTTTGTCTATGTAACATAATTGTCTCTACCTAAATGTATAATTTTAAATGCATATAAATAAAGATTTTTCATTGTTTAAGTTCTGAATCGATGAAAAAAGTCTATACTTGGTGAGCATAAAAATTCTGAAGGCTTGGTATTTATTTGCCTAGGAGAAGCTCACTTTTATTCAAAGCATCAACTTTTCTCATAATCTTTTGAAACTGATTTAAATGATTGATGTCATTCACTAGAAAGGCTGGCATCTACTAATCAAACTTAAAAGACAGAAATGCCATCACTTGAGTAGACTGAGAAATAAGTGGACTGAATTATTTTTCCTGAGATGCTAATTCAGTAGATTATTTAAAGAAT